GGTTTGAAGGTAGGCGTCTCTCTTTATGAAAATGCCTTCTCGCATCGAGTTACAAACATGGGACTGAAGAGTGAGACAGACAGGGTTTGAGTCCCACTTCTGCATCCTGATAGCTATTTGATTTGGTCAAGTTATTTCACTCAAGAACACATTCCCTCATCTGTAAAATGAGGACAGTAAATGCATTTGCCTCTTAGGTTTTTCTCCAATCAAATAGAAATTTTAAAAATGAAGGACTTTTATGTGGCATATGGTAAGTTATCAATAAATGATAGCATTATGTTTTTTTCCGAGTCTTCTACCTGGAGCAGAACTGTACTGTGTCTGTGCATTAATGTTCTCAGCGCTTGCACTTCTGTAATTGACCTGCACTCATGTGACAGATGGTTTCCATAGCAACAGTCAAATGTCTAAGGTAAATATTATACATTTAATAATGCAGACCTTAGAACACTTAAAGACAAGGAACATATCTTCATTTTCTATTTTATGTGATAGGATATCTTGTACAAAGTAAAGGACCAAAATATTTGTTGAGTGAAAGAAACTAAGGAAGAAATAACGATTATCTGGTTCCTTTCTCTCATGGTAATTGTATCATGTATAGTAAGAGGCACTTTTCCTCGCAGATATCCCAATTCCTTTGCTGTGCAGCTGGGAAGGCAGATCCGGAAACCTCCCTACTCACACAGCCTCCATGAAAGATAACACACAACCAAGGTCCATGTAGCAGCTAGAGTGCAGAAAATTGTGCCCTTCTTTTTTGTCACAATGAAGGATTAATGGAATTGGTGGTTGCCGGGGCGGGGGGTGGTGGTGAAGGGGATGGTTCGGTACATGTGTGTGGTGATGGGTTGTAGTTGGTGTTTTGGTGGTGAACATGATGTAATCTGTGCAGAAGTGGAAGTGTAGTGATGTACACCTGAAATTTTTACAATGTTGTAAACCAATGTTACTGCAATAAACAAAAAATTAAAAAAGAAAAAAAAAAAAGGATCAATGGATATTCTTTGCCTTGAAGTCATATGTTCCTTGAAGTTGTCAGGAAAGAGGTCATGATAATCAAATATGGTACATGACCTTCCCTGTCCTGCTAATCTGCACCTAAAAAAGGAAAGCAAGATGAGGGGACAGCCCTAGAGTGGGCGACCACAAGTGTTGAGGAACAGACGTGAGTGTGATTCCTTGTTCTGCCAGTTATGAAATGTGAGACCCGGGAAAGTTACTTCTCCTCACCTATATAAACGGGGAAAATAATACTTATTTTTCATGATTTCTGTGAGCATAAAACACATCACATACAGAAGCAGCAGGTAGAGTGTCTGGGAAAGGTCTGTCTGATACATGAGGGCCTGAGTCTGTCTGGCTGGCAGCTGCCACCCTCGCTGTCACTTCCTGAGCTGGGGCGGGAATGCTTTTGTGCTGGAGGCTGCTGATCATGCGGGGCTGTGCCGAGCTGCTGGCACAGAGATACAGGGCCGAGTCTGTCAGCTCCAAGATGCTCACGTTCAGCTCAGAGCTTTGGTCATGGAACTGTCGCCCTGAGAATCGAACCGGGATGGCTCCTTTTTCTCTCTCTTCCCCATTGTAGTACTGAAGGAGGAACTTGGGGCCCTGGCCCAGGGTCTGTTGGTACCAGTACACAGAGAGATGTGTAGAGATAGGGGAACATCTCATTGTCACTTGCTGTCCTGTTGCTTTGATCAGGTGTCTTGGTGTCTTGGTGTTTGAGTGACTCCAGAATCTGCTGGGCCTGTTGGGGAGGAGACAGAAAGTGGCTGGGGGCAGAGCACAGGGGAAGCCTCCTGCTGCAGCCATCACTGGCAGGCTGGTATTTTAGGCATGGCAAAAGCAAAGGATAGGCTTTCACACTGTGCCCAGGACTCACCTGCTTCCAGGAGACAAAGAGCCACACAGCAGAGAAGCCTAGAGCTCATGGCAGCATCAGGAACCCAAGACATCTCCTAGCTCAGGGGCAGAGTCTCCTGGGGTGAGTGGTCTACGGTTCTGACCTCCCGTTTCCCTGATAGGAGCATTCGCCTGTGATGTCACTGCTCTGACATCATTGCTCTGTTGTTACTCTCTCAGCTGACCACCCTCAGCCCACTGTCCTCCTTGGCAAGACCCAGGGTCTGCCGCACTAGGCGCCATTCCTGTCGTCCATAGCCCCTCAACAAAGGATGGGTGTGAATTGAGTGCCTTTCTCATAGCCCACAACATACCTGATGTCCCTCTGCCTGCCCCTGCCTGACACGGATTACCCAGCCCTTGCCGCCCCCACCCCTTCACCCTCCACTTCCTGTGCAGGCTCAGGAGGTGGCCTCCTTGGTGCCCACTGAGGTTCAATGCGGGTCTCCACTTCCCTGGGCAGTGAGAGCCTGTTAGCTCCATGTGTTCCAGACCAGTGAACTCAGTGAACTCAAACCCCCTCCCTGAGGCAGGCATGTACCAGAATTCCCTTAACTGTCCTCTCCTGGGCCACTCTCACCCTCCCAGGGGGCCTTGCAGTAAGTACTGTGAGTCCACAGTGCCACCAACTGGCTGAAGGTTCACAGTCTCATGGATTCCCAACTTCTGTCTAAATCGGGAATAGAAATTCCCCCCAACCCCCATCCATGCAGCCCTCAAACCCTACCCCCCCACACACCCATACTACTGCTTCCCAGCCTGGTTGATTTAGGGGTGATCTCATATCCGTCCTTACTCTTTGGAGGCAAAAGAGTGTCTGAACCGAGATTTTGATGAAGGAGGAAATAATTGCTGCACCATTGCAATTAGTATGCTAAAATGGAAGAAACAAGCCAAAATAATACAGGCCATAAAAATAAACAGTCTGATGACATCAAGTTGATCCAGCCTGGAAACACTATATTCCATAGCTCCTCCTGATTAATCAGATCCATATATCCAGATTTTGTATTTAAATTAATTATCACCAAATTTTAGATAGTGCATTTTATAAAGAGGGTTTATATATTTTACATATTTATTTATGAACTTATAAATTCATGAAATAAACAACCCTGTAGCCGTAGTTAAGGTCGATCCAGTTGGGCCTGACATTTACTATCACCAACCAGAAGGACCTATTAGTTCCGCTCAGTGACTCAATGCCTCTTAATAAATTCCACCCAGAGAGAAACTTTCTATTTTGTGTATCTTCACAAGGAAACACACACACACAATTATCCTTTAATTCACAAGGATTTCAAAGTTTTATTACCAAGCACAACAATTTTTCTTTATCAGTTTTACAGGTCAGTTCTGAGAAACACCCTTGATGATGGCAAGACATGTCTCTAAAGATGTGGTGGCCGGTGATGAAAATTCTTACAGGATCGTGAGACTGGATGAATATTACTGTAACACAATTTTCTCCATTCCAAAAGAACATCAGCATACTTCAGCTTTTGAAAAATTAGGATCCTTTACAGGACTGGTCCTCAGTATTGGCTATGAAAACACAAATTGCTCAGAATATTGCAGAAGTTGTATGGAAAGCCAAGACATTCCACAATGAATACCCATTACATTTCAGGTGAGAGGAGAATGTTGTGAAGGAAAAATAGTGAATAATGATGTTCCATGGCTCTATATCAGTGGGTATTAATTTATTTGTTTCACAATTGTCAGAGTATCAATTATATACCTGACTTTTCCAATGAAAGTAAAGGAAAGAGAGCAATATATTTACGGAGGGAATTGTGTCCCCCAAAAATTGATGTGTGAAGTCCTAACCCACAATATGATTGTATGTGAAGATTCGGCCTTTGGGATCATAATTAAGGTTAAATGACATAATAGGGGTGGGACTCTAATCCCATAGGACTGGTGTCCTTATAAGAAGAGGAAGCAACACGGAGCTCTTTCTTTCTCTCCTTGTGAACACAGAGAGATTATATGAGGACACAGCCAGAAGGTACCTGTCTGCAAACCAGGAATAGAATTTTCACCAGAAACTGACCCTATCACCTTGATATTGGACTTCTAGTCTCCAAAACAGTGAGAAAATAAATGTCTGTTGTTTAAGCCACACTGTCTGTGATATTTCGTTGTGATACTTGAGCAGACTAATCAATAGTATAGCCCTGTGGTATGTCAGGGTGAGAAGCAAAGAGGAAGGCACGTCTGAGCCAGTCCTTGAATAGTATCTGGTCGTGTTTGGAGTGAAGGGAAGGGCCTTCTAGACCATGGTAACAGCAAGAGCAGGTGTAGAGGATTTAAAGGACATCGGTGTTGTAGGAAATGTGGCAAAGAGCTGTGTGGTCACAGAGCAGATGCATCCCGAGACAGCCAAGAAGCGAGGCTCTGAAGGTGACTGAACCTGGGTGGTGAAGTGTCAGAGCTGTTTCAGGGAAGCAGAACTGATCTGGGGGAAACTGGAGAGCCTCTGCCTGTTACAGTCAGGGAAGGCGTGCACTCGTCTGTGTTTGGGAGACGCTTGACTGTGCCCAAGGAGGGAGGATTGGGGTGAGGAGTCAAGAAGGAAGGAGTGAGCATCAGCTCCAGGGTTCTCACCATCATCACAGCATCTCAGTGGTGATGTCCTCAGCTGGGAGCGGCCGCCAGCTGACGCTGGTGCTCTCACGCCTTGCTTTATGTTGTCTGGGTATTGAAGATTTCGGGAGGAGGGGAGAAAAGAGCTCATGTTACAAATAACATGGTTTGTTGTTGTTTTTTTAATTATCTTGCAGCTCTATTTCTATTTTCAACCATCTTTAATTATATTTTCCCTTCTAGACTTTCCCAAAATCTCAGTTTCTTCTCCCTAAATTATATAAAGCTAATCCCTGTGATTCTATCTTCTAGACTACAAGTTTATCAAACAATTTTGATCTCCCCAAAAAACTCTCCCTCATAAAAAAAGATGGTGCCAGCTATTAAATTACAAAATCTCCCTCTACCCTGTAGCCTAGAGGGCCAGGCAATGAAGGTGACTTTGGAGTGAGCCTCTTGCTGCAGCACCATCCTCTGAACAGATCTTCTTGTCCTCCGTTGTCTCATGTCCCTGGGTGGCAGAGGAGTTCAAGGCTGCACTTTCCAGGGCCCTGAGTCATTTCTCTTTCCCACTGCAGACCCGAGGTTCTCACAGTTCTGTCAGCTCTGAGGTTGCTCCACGTTGGGGCAGGGAGCTTTGTGCACAGAACGTTGGTGACTCTGCAGGGCTGTGCCACGCTGCTGGCACAGAGATACAGGGCCGAGTCCGCCACCTCCAAGATGCTCACGTTCAGCTCAGAGCTGTAGTTACTAAACTGTTGCCCTGAGAATCGATCCGAGATGTTTCCTTTATCATTCTCTTCCCCCTCGTAATACTGAAAGAGGAACTGTGGGCTCTGGTTGAGGGTCTGTTGGTACCAAAATACACGAGTGTGCCCAGAACTAGGGGAACATCTCATTGTCACTTGCTGTCTTCTTGCTTTAATCAGGTGTCTTGGTGTTTGGGTGACTCCAGAATCCACTGGGACTGTGAGGGAAGAAGACAGGGGTTGAAGAAGGAACACGGGAGGGAGCCTGATGGTGCCTTGGATTCAGGTGCTGTCGGGCTTAGGATGGAGATGTCCCACCTGTACCAAGGACGTACCTGCTCCCAGGAGACAAAGCACCACACAGCATAGGAGCCTGGAGCCCATGGCAGGTGGAGTAGAACTGGGCTGGTATCTCCCTGCTTAGAGTTCTGGTCCCCTAAGAGATGAAGTTCTGGGGATCCATTCTCTGATTGGAAGTTAGACTATGATGTCAGGGCTCTGATGTCATTGTCTCTGCTGGTTCCCATGAGCCTGGCGTCCTTTGCTAGGTCCCTAGCTCAGCTTATCCAGGAACCCTGCTTTGTCCTGCAAAGTTTCTTGCATGCAGGTGGGGCTGGACTGGGCTGGTCTAGGCTAGGCTGGGTTTAGGCAGCATCCCCAACCCCACTGCTCCTTTGCTTTTCCTTTGAGGCAGGTGTCCCCACCTGTGCCTGCCTGAGGCAGGCAGGCTGCCTCCTCCCAGCTCTACATTCTTCACGTTCCCTCGCAAAATCAGAGAGAATCTCTCATCATTGCATAGCTGAAGTTCATGGCTCCCGGTCAGGACAGCACATCTGGGAATTAGTGTCTATACTATTAAGCCTTCTAGGGGATCAAAATACCAAACAAGGATGTTTCTTAACCCTCCTGGTCCCAGAAACTTTTGGAGCTCGGCAGTTCCACAGCACCCCCACGTGGCCTATGGGGCGGTAACCGAGATTTTGTCTTTGCCATGATGCAAGAGTCCTGAGATGTGTTTAAATTAGGAACTATTGCACCAGTGCCTGTTGTACTGTTGTTTTGTTTTATTTCCTAGAGGGACAAAACACACACACACGCAGAACCCCAGCCCTAGTGACTTGGGATTTTTCATTGTAAGAGGAAAATTAGGTGGTCATAGAGGAAATATTTTGCCTTTGAGAAGATTCTGATGATGAAGGAGATGGCGTAAACTTGGCCCAGGTGAGGTGAGGGTGCTGAAGGAACCCTGCAGAGGTTACCCAGAGACAGCCTGTCTTTCTTCCTGCAGATGGTCTCCCAAGATTATTGGATGATTACAATTAACTGAAGTTGCTTTTTCTTTGATTACCCCAGACAGCTTGTTCAAGGCAGATCATTCAAACAGGGCTCTGTGCAAGGTGCCCCCTAATCAGCTTACCCCCAAATAAAGAAAATAATACTCACTGCTCCCAGACTGCTGGAGAGTTTGTTTCTTTCTCTTGTATCCTTTCTCTTTAGAAATCCTCTGTTTGCCTCTGTTCATTGATCATAATATAATGCCTATTTCCCTGTATGTGAGTAAACATGTGTGTAGATAGATGATTATATTTCTCTAAGTTTTTCTTTAACACCCAAGAAGGAAATAAAATAGACTAACCCTCTACACTGGAGAGGCCAGTCTGGATTAATGTAGGATAACAAAATAAACAGAAGGACTTGGGAAAATAAAATCTGAGAAGGACTCAATTCCAGAACCAGCGTCTTCCATTTGCTGCTTCTGACTAGTTTACTTCCAATCTAAATTTGTTTAAATGTTTACATTTGACTTAATTGTTATTAAATTTTAAATAGTGCATTATATAGAATGGATATAGGTATTCTAATGTAATCTATTTCTTGACTTTCAAATTCCAAAGGCAACAACCCCATCAGATTCCACTGAGAAGGGATTCCCTGACCCAGCTGCATCTGACATTGACAGTCACTCATTGTGCCAATGAGCTCTGGTCAGTGACCAGCACCTCTTAGAAGACGCCGCCCAGAGAGGAAAATTCCACCCTGAGTGAATCTCCATGGATATAAACTAGATGAAATTATCTCAAGTCCAGATGGCAATATTCTGTAACTGAGTACTTTTTTATGAATTTTGCGTATACCTAACTCATTAAAATCTTTTCTAATAGCAGCTGATGTGTCCAATGGAGTTTCTGATGGTAGATAAAGAGAAGTTTCTACACAAAATCATAGAAATGTAAACTATCATTATAAATCACACCAAGGAAAGTACATTTCTCTGCTTTAAGAGGAATATCTGGCATTTTTTGAATTCAATTAGATAAATTTGTTGGATTGCCCATCATTCCTTTTCTATAAAAAATTTAACAGAATATCTAAGATCGCTTCAGAGACAGCCCGGACCCCATGATAAATAGCCATTATATTTCAGGCAAGAGGAGCCCAGCTGATATTATAAAGACGTGTGAGATATGAGAGCATTGGCTTCTGGATCTCTCTAAAATTTCAAACTAGCATCATTTGCTGGCTTCTTCCCCAGGGCAGCCTGATAGGGCAAGAAGCAAATATGAATACTAGAGACTAACCAAAAACCATGAGAGTCTTCTGGAAAGACTGAAGCTATTTAGGGCTGGAATATGAGTAAGATGAAAGGTGAGCCCAAGACTGCAGTGAGAAAAGAAGGTGGTGGAAATTCTTTAAGCTCTGCTCTTGCTGACTCCTCTGCCTAGAGACAATTTATCTGCATTTTTATGACACTAATCAGTAGCAGAGGAACTGACATCACTAAAGGACTCCAAAAGAAAGATAACCAAATGGACAATATATATCCCCAGAAAGTGTATTATTGAACCAGATGAACCAAGAATTTGAAACGTGCATGCTAAATATACTAGGTGAAGATATGCAATATAAACAAGAAAGTAGAAGATATCTAACCCATAAGAATGTATATGGTCAATGTGCTGGAGATCTTCACAGTAGCATTCCTAGCATATTTTACACCAGCATCTCCTAGTGTTTCATTATGGGGAAGAATGTTCATGTTACCTTATTCTCTAAGAGAAGCCAATGCTTCATGTAAACATTGAGTTTTTGTCCAATAGGAACTAATATATATTATTATTTTCCTAAAATAATGACCCCTATCATCAGGGGATTTTTTTTCCTGTTTTCATAAAATCAAAATTTCAGCTAATGAATTTAGAACCCAGATAGGATCTGTGAACCTCTGTCTTCTTTAAAAACTAGGTGAAATTTCCTAGAGCTTATAATTTCCCAAAGGTATAAAAACCCAAAAGCTTTCCAGAGATTTCTGACCATTCCTATGGACGTTGGTATTCTCCTGGTCTTCTCAAACCCTGTGACATCACCTAGCCATAAAGCTAGGTCTTTCTTTGATTTCCTCAAAATATTATGCACATCAAGTATTAGTGAGTTTGGTAGAGTCTGATGAAGATTTGGGGACTGCTGCAAAGGAATATATGATGCAGACCACAGTTTGTCACCATTTCCCTCCCATCCTTGGTCATTTTACCCCCTCACAAGACTTCCCAGAATCTCAAATTCTTCTACCTGTATTATCTAGAACAATGTCCTTGGGGTTTACCTTCCATATCCAGCCCCTAGTTTAAAATATTCCCATCAATAATACTTTCCTCTCTAAGAAATTGGGTGCAAGCTATTAAGACACTAAACCTTACTTTTTCTGCATTCAAAATTATAGTTAACCAATTCTTCTTTCTTGAGTGGAACTCATCTTTATTCAAGGATTATCTTTTCTAAATTTTACTTTAAATTGTTCTTTAATTTTATTATAGTGACAAAATATATATAACACAAAACTCACCATTTTTAAGTCTACAGTTTAGTGGCATTGACTACCTTCATATTGTTGTGCTACCATCGCCACTCTCTCTCCAGAGCCTTATCATCTTCCCAAACTGAAACTCTGTATCTATTAAACACTAATTCCCCATTCTCTCCCCTGCCCCAATCCCTGGAAGCTACCATTCTGTTTTCTGTCTGTATGAATTTGACCACTCTAGATACCTCATATAAGTGGAATCATACAATATTTGTCCTTTAGGGTCTGGCTTATTCACTTACTATAATGTCTTCAGGGTTCATCCATATTGTAGCATATGTCAGATTTTGATCCTTTTTAAGGTTGAATAATATGTCATTATATATATGTGTATATATCAATTTTCTTTATTCATTTATCTGTTGATTGGATGGGTTGTTTCCACCTTTTGTCTACTGCAAATAATGCTGCTATGAACATCGGTGTGCTAATATCTGTTCAAATCCCTGCTTTCACTTCTTTTCAGTGTATATCCAGAAGTGGAATTGCTGGATTGTATGATAATTCTATGTTTAATTTTTTGAGGGGTTGCTACATCATTTTCCACAGTGGCTGCACTATTTTATATTCCTATCAGCAATGCAAAAGTGTTCCGATATCTCCACAGCCTCGCCAACACTTGCTATTTTCTGTTTTTTTCCTTCAATATTATCCATGCTAATGGGTGTGATGTTCTTGAATTTTTGAAATTAATGGGAATATATAGTGAAGTTCTCTTTTATTTTACTGTTGTTGTTGTTGTTTGTTTTAAGCATATTACTTTTTAAATCTCAAGTCAACCAAAACATTGGTCTCCAAAATTTTGGCAAGTAGTTTTCGTCTGTAAAATTCACTCACTGAGGAACCACTGTACTTGAAGGCTAGACAATATTTCCCCTTATCAGACTTGACATTAGAAAAGCAAAATTCTAGTCTTGGCATCACTAGAGTCTGTAAGGAAGGAAGAGGTGAGTAGGATTATGTCTTGGAGACAAGTGGCACCTGGAAAGTGGTTCCACAGAAGGTAAAGAGATCCAACTGAAATTCGACAAGGGATTCTTTTAAAAGGAACACATAGATTATAAGTCTACATGAATTTGCAGGTAGTCAGTGGTCACCATGCTCTCGTGGATGGTGAAGAAAGGGCCCTTGAGAAAGGAAAAGTGAAAGGTATCAAGTTTCTCCAACAAACTGTTTTATTTACAGGGTCTGACTTGGCATTGAAAAATGAAGACTATTATATCCTTCAATTATTGGAACGCTTGTCCCTCCCTCTGTGTTGTGTGTATGTTATAAGCCCAATGGGAGCTTGCAATGCTTGAGAAACAATGAGATTGTCTTACCTCCTTGACACAAGGATACCAACTAAGAGCTTTAATGTGTACTCAGAAAATTTACTTATCAATCGCTTTAACTCGACTCTTTGAGGGCCTAAATCATGATTCCTAAATGTCTTTTAAAGTTACTTGTTATCCGATAAGTGATTAAAATATTTATCAAATGAGTGAATAGATTACACAGTACTAGTGATGGAAATCTCTCTAAG